ACAAGGGTTATTTCAGATTTGAAACTGCGAATTAACTTCCTTCGAATGAAAAAAGGAAAGCAATTGTTCTGTGTATGGATGAATTTATTTGAGTGCTCCATTTTACCAGTGCCAGCATCCCATTCCCCTGGCATTTTATCAAAGCTACTAAACGACTGGTAATATCAAGCTCCTCAGAAAAGCAGGAAAAGACTAGTTGAACCTCTCACTGTCGGGTGGCCATTTTCTCTGGAGTCCTTTTCTATCAACTTGAACGCTGTAGGGATCAAATTCGGAAGACTGTTGTGATATCAATATTATAAGACTTTATTTTTCTTTCATAAGACGCCAAAAACAAAAGTTCCGGCCAAGGGATGAGGGAGGGGTCCTGCATGCATGTGATCGTCCGAACTCTAGCCTCTAGATCATCCATGATATAGATTTCAGAGGCTATATGTGTGTGTGGGTGTGTGTGTGTAGCTTTCATTTGGAAAGATGAAGTCGCCTCTCAACCCTTTAGCTGGCGTGAAACAAATGAATGAAACACGACTACAGAGTTAAAGTATTAATCAACTAGTGGGGTGTCATCGTCTCAATCAAAAGTAACTCGTCAAAAAATAAAGTTTGGCTGACCAGAGAATGTCTCATTCTTTTCAATTAATAGCTTGCTTGCACCAAAAAACACGTATTGCTTTAAGGCTAGACAATATATATATATATATATCAGCATCCAGCAACTTCACTGGTATATATTCTTCGTCGTCCTTGCAAAATTCACAGACATAGCAAACTATGATACAGTCCTTCTAAAGAACACAAAACATGGAGAGAATCTAGGAGCTGTGACCCAAATATGGAAGATAGCTAAAATCGTGGAAGCTGTTTTAAAGTGAAGAGGCAGATATAAAAGAAAGGGGGTTGGGCATAAAGGGAGCCATATGGTCCCCTCCAAGCTAGCTAAGCTACCCAATTTGCTAAGAAAAAGTCCCTCCACACCCCAACCATTATTACAGATTGGGACCCTCCATCCATCAAACCCTATCATCATTTATATGTGATGGCCTTTTGCTCACGCCTAATCTCACTCATGATTTCTCCATAAGAACCACACATGCGTGCAGATGATTTGACTAAACGTCGCCATACCCCTTTTTTTGTTATATGTATGGCTTTATATCTAAATTTTTAACCAAGGTTTGGACATAATTAACCACTACGTGTCTCTTCCTTCTTTATTTCTTTTCAATTATGGTATCTATTATGTAACAACTCTGTTGGACTCGTTGCTCTTATGATGGCTCAAAAGTAGAAAAAGAATATAGTCCATGTTTGGCCCCCGTGAATAATAATAATGTAGCTAGCTGCTAGAGGGTAGAGTACGTATAATATATGGCAAAAACCTTTCGTGAATTCTTCACCCTCCTTATGATTAAATGATTTTGTGGACCCTTTATGAAAGCTACTGCGACTATCCCACATGCGACCATGCAAAGGATATACCTACTTGGTTTAATGTTGTGGATATAATATACCATCTCCGATTTTAATTATAAGACCTCGTTTGTAATTAACGAGATTTTATAGTTAAGACGGAGGTAATATATCAGTTTCTTTTTTGTAGCTGAGGCAAACAGCTTAAAAGGCAGCCCTAGCTAGCTAGCTAGCTAGGTATTTCATGTAACCAGTTCTGTGGGTTATTGCTATAAACAAATTTCTCTAAACCTGAAGGGAAAATGTAGAGTAGTTGAAGGTGAAATGTAACTAAATTGCTAGCTGTGCTTATAGATATCATGCCAGCCATGTTGGCCCCTACAGCGATTGAGAAGCCAATTCACAGATGACTGGGCCGGGTAATAGTTGACTGAACTATTCACAATTAATTATCACATGGGATGCCTTTATTCACCAAACGATTAATTAATTATAGTTCAATTATACATATATGGCAGCATCACCAGTACGAAGGACTGGAATACGCCCAAACTGAGGAAGGAGGGTGAGAAAATCGAATGGGTTATAAGATCTTTTACTTGGAGTTTTGACATTCTGTGTGTCGACTTAATTAGGACTGGTTTAAAGTCTAATGAATATACTCTCGTTTAAATGGGATTCTTCACTCGTTGTCCGTTTCCAACGTATATGTTTGCATCGTGCTTGAAATCCGTATGATGATGAGCGAGAAGAAGTGTCAACCCACTGGAGAATTGTCCAGTTTATATTCACCTGCAAAGTGCTGATATACAAGTGTTCGAATTATAATACTATTAATTCAGCTTTTGTGCTAAAAGTATGGTGAATTAATTATAGCTAGTACATAATAAAAATTTCCATAACACGTACAATAACTTTTAAAAAGTGACAAGGTTTTATAAAGGGGCTATAATTAACTTCTTCGATACGCATGTGCTTTCAAGCTAAGTTCAGGGCATGATTGAGGATTGGACCAAAAAAGAACAACATGATTGTGGAGGACCAGGTTGTTCGGATCATGGTCCCTCACAAACACCCTTAGTTTGTGACTGGTACCAAGATCAAAGATCTGTACTGAGTTAGCGAGAAGGGAAATACACACACATACATATATAAAGGATTCATCAGTCTGAGAGACTAAGTAGTAATTGGTCGTTGTAAGGGACTGATATAGAACGAGAAAGGAGCTGAATTGACATGGGAGCTCGTTGTAATGGAAGGGGTTGATGTGCATTGATTGGAGGAAGACGATGGAGATGAGGATAAATCTAGAAAGTGGGACTAGAAACACACGTTTGTGGGATGGAAGGACGTGCATTAAAGAAGAATAGGACTACTGGGGGGTGGCAAAATTGTGGATAGCAATATTCTACGCAATTTATTTTCTCCTGTGGTCCTGATTAGGACTCCATACCATAACTTGGTTACTTCTATTAATTATGAAGACACTGTGAAAGTTTTTGCTGGATAAAAGTGGTGTTGTTGGGATAAGCGTATGAATCAACTAACTCTAATCATTGATGAAGGGGACCATTTTAGTCATGGCCTTATGACCTTTTTAAGAACTACAGTAAAAATATATATACTATTATGTATTATTGTGTGAATAATTTCACTTCATGAATCTCTAGGTACAAGAATAAAATTAAAAAATAAGTAATATTTCACTGACTTTATCAAAATTATTATCGTCATGCTCATTGATGCAGAAACAAAGATTTTTATTGATTATTAAACATTTTTAACGTATAATTATATCTAGTATATTAGAATTAGAATGCGTAATCTACCTAGTCATTGGATCATAAATACTGCTCATTTGATAACGGATTCCTAATCAGTTTGTACATGGGCGAATGTACTTTTTTTTTTTTGTACTTACCCCATCTTTGAAGTTTCTGATTATTTTTTAAAAAGTGTTTTCTTTTGAAACACCAATTGAAAATTATTTTACAACATTTTAAATCATTAATTACAAACTGACTTCTGCTGACTAAGCTTTTACTCTCATGACATAAGTTGCTCATATTATTTGAAAATGAATACAATTTTATGCAAGTACTTAGTTATTTTTCTTTTGATAAAAGTTAGAGTCTTTTTAAATTATTTTGAATTTAAAACTAATTTTTATTAAAATTTTTGTGGTATGACCTAACAGGTTTACAGAAGTTACAGCCTATGGCCACACGTACACTAATCCATGCAATAAATCAAAACCCCACATTACTTCCCCTCCCTACATTTTATTTAAAAATAAATGTAATTTCATGCAAGCATTGAGTTTTTTTTCTTTTGATGCAAGTTAGAATCTTTTTAAATTATTTTAGACTTAATATTAATTTCTATTAAAATTTTTGTAGTCTGACCCAATAGGCTAATAGGTTTACAAAAGGTGCAGCCCCACTTATCCCAATCCACGTAATAAATCAAAACCCCATACCCCCACTCCCCTCAAAAAAAAAAAAAAGAAATAAGGTGGAAAAATGAAAAATCAGGGAAGGGACATTTTTGAGATTATGTCTAAAGAAGAGGGACAAAATAGTCGACAAAGGGTGGCATGCTTTTCACGATCATAAAGGCTCGTGAAATCCTCTGAGCAATCGTATTACGCCTTACTACGCATACATAAACAAAGACTCTAACTTTCCCTCCCTCTTCTTTTTTGCCTGCAAAATTCAGGGACTGGAGAGACAAACGCGTCAGGCCTACAAAGATGATCATTCATAGCGTCCAGAGAGGGGATGCTGTGCTTGTCAAGATAGACCCTTTGATATTTGCGCCAAGGGAAGATCTTCACCGAATCAGAATGATTTAAAGCAAAGGCGGCGAGAATTTATTACTTCTATCAGTTTTTCTGCTCTGCAATCTCATTCGCTTGTTCTCCCAAGTAATTTCTGACGCCACTTCCCATTTTTCTCCAAGGCCAGAATTCTGACGCCATATTTCTCTGCTCGCAAACAACGTCTTTTATAGCCGGATACTCCACCACTAAGAGCTTAAAGACGTGTCCAGGCTCTTGCTAACAAATCACGAGTGCTTTGTCTTTCGAAAGCGCCTAGCTTTTTTGTGCGATTTTTTTTTTTTTTTGAGATAGCTGCTTTGCGAGTTGCAACTCAGGTTGGATACCCACCAGGAGGACATTTTCTTCCCTTTTCCTCGTTCGAATCTACCCAAACTACTCTCTCTCTCTCTAACACACACACACACACACGGGGCCAGCATCATCACTGGAACGCAACGCGAAAATCGAGTTGGGGGCTTGTAGTTGTTTCAGTCCAGCGTTTATTGCGCTCCTTAGAAGCGTGTTAGAGGGTGTTCTCTTGTTGCCAACGCCATATCTGGCATTGGTTTAGGTACTGTTCCGGGGCCCGTCTCTCTGTTCGGTGACTTTGTAACAGAGGCTTAGTGCGACCATTATTAACATTGCTGCAGAGATTGTTTAGCTAATGGGCGTCTTCAGAGAAACAGAGGCGTAGCTTATCGTTCTGTCTGAAGGTTTTTTCTGTGGTCAAACACTCGTACCTCGTTTTGTCCGAATCCCGGGTACAAAAATGAAGTTTATGAAGTTGGGTTCGAAGCCTGATGCTCTTCAAGCCGACGGGAAATCTATCATCAGGTGAGAAGCTTCTGAACAAATTTTCTTTCTCTGTTTTTATTTTCAAACGTATACTTTGAACCCTTTTTCGTTTGGGCCTTTGTTTGGTTGCTTGAGCGGTATGCAGAGTCATTGTCCTTGGTTCTGTTTTTGTTTGCATCTACGCTTTCATTGTTGAGTCCTTCCAATGTCTTCTTCATTCTTGGGTTACATGTCCTATTTCGTCATCGATTTTTTCCTCCTAAAAGGTAACTTTAGTACTACCTCCGGTCCTAATTATAAGATTAGGACCGGAGGTAGCGGCATCGCTTATCAATTAATTCGAATCGGGAGTTTATAGAGTGAAGCACTGCTGTGTAGGTTGTTCCTGATCGCTTCAAAAAATCAAGATAAGCAACCTATGGCCTTTGTCTACAAACCGCCAACCTTTCCAGTATTCAAATAATGTTGAAAATGAAGGAGCGAGAACTAACGTCATGGGTGTCTCATAAAATAGCAACAACGTTAATATTTTATTGCCGGTGACAGATAAAAAGGGGATAGGGGGAAAGGAGTGTGAAAAGGTCACGAATTTGTCGTCCAGCTAGGGTAAAGTGATCTGTAGTATTCGTCATCTTCAATCATAGAGAATAAAGAATATTTTAAAGTTTTAACAACACTACTATTAGCTGCAATATGGCCATATTATATTTTCTTTATTTGACAAGCTTGTGCTTTTCATTTTTCCAAGTGAATTTCAAGCGACATTCAACACAGGAGAAAGGTTTTTCTTTCGTGGATGGATTGTTTTAGAGATAACATGAATCGCTGTCGCTTCAGCATGTTATAAATTGTGTTTTTAACTATGAAATGTTGTATTGTCATCTTTTAATGTCATGCATGTGCTATGTCTCTCGCAACCAACGGCCGTTTTGTTGTGTATCGATTTTGATGGTCTGCAAGTAGGGCTTGCTTCTTTTCTTTATGTTAATTTTCACTCCAATCTGGATTCAAACTTGGATCCTTCATTTCTATAATCGGTTCAAACGCAAAGCTCATTGGTAGATGGAGCGTCCTTCGCCCCAACTAAGCCTTTTGGCCCCTTTCCGGAAGAAGAATTTGTCATTGATTAAAAGCGTAACGTACAAACGACAATTCATGCAGGTATGTCTCAAGCGATTTGGCCACTGATGTCATCATTAATGTTGGTGAAGTCAAGTTTTACCTTCACAAGGTACATAGTATTTTAGCATCTTACTTAGCTTTGTCCTGTTAAAAAATAAAAATTGCATATATGTGTGTGAGTGTGTGTACATCTGAAAGATGATGTTGGCGTTTTGTGAACAGCTATAACTCATGAGCATTTTCAATTATTTAACATTATATTGTTGCTCAGTCAAATATCTCAAGTTCTTTGTATTGCGTTGAGAGATTTAACATGTAATAATAGAGTTGGACGACTCCAAGGATGTGTTCTAATTTGTGCGTTGACTTTGCATTTTAATTCCTACATGTAGTACTAGATATGGATTATAGATATAGAACAATCAGCTAGGTGCTTGCTTCCCCGTCTGTTTTTAATCATTTTTTAATTTCTGGTGTTTTCCAGTTTCCTCTCTTGTCTAAGAGTAATCGACTGCAGAAACTGGTTTCAAAGGCAAACGAAGAGAATTCTGATGAAATATTCATAGCTGATTTCCCTGGAGGGCCTAAAGCCTTTGAAATATGCGCAAAATTCTGCTATGGAATAACCGTTACTCTTAATGCCTACAATGTTGTGGCTGCCCGTTGCGCAGCAGAGTACCTAGAGATGACGGAGGAGATCGACAAAGGGAACTTAATTTTTAAGATTGAGGTGTTTCTAAACTCGAGCATCTTCCGGAGCTGGAAGGATTCTATCATTGTTCTCCAGACTACTAAATCTCTTCTGCCATGGTCTGAGGATCTGAAGATCATTGGAAGATGCGTAGATTCCATAGCTTCAAAAACTTCTGTGAACCCAGAACACATCATGTGGTCCTACACATATAACCGGAAACTAAGTGAGTCTGATAAAATTACCGAGGATCAGATGGCATCTCGGGCAAAAATTGAGTCGGTTCCTAGGGATTGGTGGGTTGAAGATGTATGTGAGCTGGACATTGATCTTTACAAGCGTGTAATGATTGCTGTCACATCAAAGGGAAGAATGGACGGTGTCATAATTGGAGAGGCTCTAAAGGTCTATGCCGTGAGGTGGTTGCCTGAATCCGTTGAGGCATTGGCTTCTGATGTTCATGCTTGGAGGAACAAAACCTTGGTAGAAACAATTGTCTGCTTATTGCCGTCTAACTATGGTGGAGGCTGTTCATGTAGCTTCTTGCTGAAGCTATTGAAAGTGGCCATATTAGTTGGAGCAGGTGAGTCGTCAAGAGAAGAATTGATAAAGAGCATTAGCTTTAGATTGCATGAAGCTTCTGTTAAAGACTTGTTGATCCCTGCAAGGTCTCCCCAGACAACCATTTATGATGTTCAATTAGTACATTGTCTTTTGAATGGATGGATGACTTTTGAAAGGGAGAGTTGTGAAATGGAAGTTGACGAGTACAGAGATAAAGGAAAAAGCTTGGTGAACATAGGCAGGTTGGTGGATGGTTACCTAGCAGAAATTGCACATGACTCAAATCTGGGCATGTCTAGTTTTATTGAATTGTCACAGTCAATTCCAGAGTTTGCTCGACCAAAGCACGATGGTCTCTACAGAGCTATTGACATATACTTGAAGGTAGATATCTGTCGGAAGCTTCATAATCCTGTTTACTATGTTTTATAATACCACGTGACCTCTATGAGTTTTCTATGCATGCAGCCATCTTTTGCCAAATCTGTGGCATTCTAGGTGTAAAATGTAGTCTTTTGATTTCAGGAGCACCCAAGTCTAACAAAAGCAGAAAGGAAGAAGATATGCGGTTTGATGGATGTGAAGAAGTTGACGGTGGATGCATCAATGCATGCTGCACAGAATGAACGGCTTCCACTTCGGGTTGTAGTGCAGGTTCTCTTCTATGAGCAGCTCAGAGCTTCTGCCAATGTTCGAGCTCTCAGTAGCAATCAATGTGATGAGGAATATGAGAAAGCAGTGGGGGAAAATTGTGAGGCGTTCAAAGATGAGATGAGCCATTTGAGCATCAAAGATGAAGAAGAGTTCTGTAAGAAAGGGAAACTGAGCAAGAAGAATAGCAAAAGCAGCAAAAGTGGCATGCAACTCCTACCATCTCGATCAAGGAGAATCTTCGATAAGTTGTGGATTGTGGGGAAAGGTCACGGAGAGAATAGGAGCTCCGAGACTTCAGGGAGTTCTAATAGCCCAACATCTGTAGTCCCTGCAGATACCAAATCATCTGGTTCTTCGGCAAGACAGAGGAGGCATTCTGTCTCATAGGGAGATGAAATTTGCAGTTCATAGGTTATTTTAGCTATCAAGGAAAAGAGAAAACTCGTGGTGGAAGTGTAAATTGCTGGGTATGGTATTAGTTGATCATGATGTTACATTGCACGTACAGAATTTAGAGAGAATGGAGGGAAAACTTGCAGTACAGAAAGATGGTACGAGGTATCTGTTCTTAACGCCACCACCCCATTGGGTTGGGGATGATCATGTTTTATGTAGGATTTTTCGTGTATAGATAGGGGATTGGATGAAATTTACAAGCTTTCTTTTGATGTTTATCTCATTTATATATAAGAAGACATGCATCAGATCTTGGCACAGCATGCGCACTGCACGGAACGATTGAAGGCCTGATTTTAGTATTTCTTTTGAGTGCTAAAATAATTGCAAGTAAATAAAGTTTATTAAAAAGAGGAATTTTGTTTTTGTTTAAAAAAAAAGATGAAGTCGAACGAGCTCGCTGTGAAATACGGTTAGTTGAGGAAGTACTTCTATGCTCGTGAATTATTTTTCCTTGAGGCGGAAGCGAGCGCGGGAAATGCTTTCTCTGGAAGCTGATCAGGTGTCAATAGTCAAACTTGCTTAAGTAGCTTAGCCACGGACCCGCGGTCTTTTATACCTCTCATGTTTCCATGTTTGAAAAGGACTTTTTATTATACTATTTTCGGTCCTAATTATAAGAACTAGTTGACTAATCTAAAAAGATTAAAAAAAAAATTAAGTTAATTATTTGTCATAAATAGGTGTTGTTTTTTCTAAAATATCCTTACTAATCAAGTGTATTCGTTAAAGCTATCATTATTAGAAAGACTATCTTTAAAAAAAATACATAAATATTAGAGACAAAATGAAATGGAATTTTATATTTAGAACTAAGATAAAAATTAAATAAGGTCTTATATTAAAAACGGGGGTAGTATTCTAATAAACTGGTGACAATCTATTAAGCTGAACCATGCTTGGCCCTTGAACGAAAATCACGCAACAGTGTGAAAGTAAAAGAAAACTCACTGGCAATCTTGGGGTTGCCCATTGCGGATATGGCAGAGCAGGACTATAATATTAAAGTACCGTTTGGTATAAAGTATAAAAAATTAAAGATAGGAATTAGAATTGAGATTAAAAAAATCTATTAAAAAGAATATGTAGCATGAGAGATTACTTACTACATGAGATTAAGCAAATCATGGAAGTGGGATTGGGAAGCAACAAGCAATTGTTCATACTAGATACTCCTTCGATCCTTAATATAATACCTATTTAATTAATTTGATTAGATTAAAGAAGTTAGGTAAGTTAGTTAATTATAAGAAATGTGACACGTTTTTTCTAAAATACCATAATCATCTTTCTTAATATCCTCTCTTCTTCTTTTACTTAATTGTGATCGAGGAAGTATCCATAAGAATAATTTAGAGAAAATTAATAAATATGAGAAATGTGACTTATATTTATAACCAAAACCAATTCAATAATTAGGTCCTATATTAAAAACCAGAAAAGTATTATTTTAATTATTTTTCTCAATTGCAATCATAATCTATATCTCTTATATTCAATACTTTGTACTAAATGGGACCTAAAAATTCTTCATCATTGTGCCCGTAAGAGATTTTCGAGGTTTTTCGTATTGAGAGTCAATTCATTCAATTGAATTTCTTTAATTCTGATTTGAAGCATGTGTTATCTATATGTATGACATTCGTCAATGCTGACTTTTTTCGGATGTCATAGTCGAATAGCACAACTTTCACTTTTGTATAGGTTTTTAATCCTCATTTTTGTTTGCTTCGTGTTTTTTTTTTTTTGGTGAAATAAAGGCAAGCTAAGGCTTGAGAAAGGCTCGCCAGAGAGTCTTAATAGCTAGCAACACAAACGCCGGGCGAGATAGCTACTGGTCTCCCTGAAGGTCATCTGAAAACATATGCCAACATTCAGCTGGTACTTCTGGAATTAGGACCAGATCCTCAGAGGTTTGCTTCCTGTATCTGTATTATAATATTACCTCTCTGTTAACATATAACAATTTGTATTATAAAGTGGATTTTATATTAAAAATAAAAAATAATATTATTTTGTATGATCATAAAAAGAATAATAGTTTTGTCAAATGGCAAGTTGCTCCAATGATAGAGCTACTCGCCCCACTTAGATAATGCCAAGCTTAGCATTGATATTTTTGTGTGCATGTTTAATCTTATAAATAAATAAATGTTAAAAAAAGTAAATGGGGGCCCAGGAAGGATGGAAGGTTTTTTTTTTTTGGCACATTAGAAAACAACCTAAAGAAAATTAGTTGGGATTAAAACCGAAACGATCCTTTTCCACTAAAATTCTCATATGACTCAGGACAGATATCAGGACGGGAGGAAATGGACATCTCCTGTCTGGCTAGCGCATCAGCAACTTCATTAGCCTGCCTTCCAATAAAACACAGCTTGATCTCCCAGTTGTACTTCAGCAAACTATGAATCTGCTTAACAAAAGGCTACAGCAATAGGAGGAATTATTCTCAGCTAGATAATCAATCAAAGCCTTTGCATCAGATTCAAATATAACCTTCGTAAATTCAAAATCCCAAGCCAACACCAACAAGAGTTAGTCTAATTGATAAGGAGTTGGCTCATAACCCACAAGATCATGAGTTTGAATCTTACTGTTAATATGAGAATCTTATTGGTAAATAATCTGTAAGTACCTCTGTAAGTGTTTTTCGAGCTTAGAAGCATGTCTTGATCTTGATAAGTCCCGGAAAAAATAGTCCAGGCTTTAGCCTCAAGGACACTGTACGAACCAATCTAAAACGAGAACCCAACAATCCAATTCCCACGGCGATCTCTAACAACACCTCCACAAGCAGCTTTCTTGGAGGATTTCGAAACAGCACCGTCAACATTTAATTTGAACTCAAAGGATGAAAGTTCGCAAGTCGATGATTATGCCTACGGGGTAAGAAACTCCTTCTTGGTATACATGGGGCAAGAAACTGGTGTTACGTACATTATACAGTATAGGGCCCAATAAATCCAACCATATGGGCTTTCTATTGTGGACCTATAGACCATAGGCTTTCTGCATGGATGAGTCTATGGCTTATGGAAGAGGCCCAGCCCTTGATGAGAAGTGGATTTTCCGAGGGAAAAGCGCTCTTCGTTGGCTCGTCCATTTGGCATCGGCGTGACCCGATTGGTACACTCCGGACCTCGCTGTAACGGCGGTCACTTCAGACTTCAGAGCTCAAACAGTGGGGAAAACAGAAAGCGGAGCAAGCTAGAGCACAAGATGCAGAGATTGAAGGCTCTGCTACCGGAGACTAGGTGCTCATTCCGCAGCCTTCATCCGAGAGCCTTCTCTGCTCAACCAAACTATGTCGAGCATGATGACCCGCAAGACCAGGTCATTTTTTTCGCATTCCTCGTCATCATATGTTTGCTTTACAGCCAAAGTTTTACATGTTGATCACCTAAGATTTGGTTATATTTTAGAAGACAAAAGGCCCAGTAATATTTACGTCCTATTAATTTCTGCCCCTTCATAGATTTTATTTTTACTTACTGTTTCTTTATGTACATTCAGATTTTAGTTGAAGGGAAAGCTATATCGAGAACTGCTATTCTTAACAGACCAAATACTCTTAATGCACTCACTACTTCGATGGTTAGACCTTTCTTCCGGCTACTTGTCCATTCGATGTTTTAATTCGCACGTCTGTAGTGAATGCTGCAAATTGAGGTTGTTTCCATTTGTAGGTATCCCGACTGACCAGATTGTATACTTCATGGGAAGATAATCCTGCTATCGGCTTTGTTTTAATGAAGGTATCTGGTCGTTTTCAAAATAAAAAGTTGGCACAAAACTACAAAACATAGAAGCATTATGCAGGTGGTTATTTAAATTTATTACCACCCCACCAAAGAAAACGGAGGATAGTTTCTGCTTGCCATGCGGTGGAGGCAGGGTTTCCTCCCTAATTCTGGTTAGGAGGGAAAACTATTGCATTCATTATATCTTCAGCACGCCTTTTAATAAAATATTGCATTGTAGTGCTATGGGTCGGTTGGGAACAAACATGCATAGTATTAAATTGGCAGGCTCTATCAAAATTTGTCCTCTTGAGCCTGTGATTATGGCCTTTCTCTCGTGAAGATTGATCAATGTTTTGATTGAATTGATATCGTGAGTTTTATGAAGGCTAATGGCAGGGCTTTTTGTTCTGGTGGAGACGTTGTAAGGCTTTATCACTTATTAAATCAAGGTATGTTGAATTTCAATCTTATCTGAACGAGTTCAACATGTACTTGCTTTTCGGACATTTTATTATCAAGTAAAACCAATACGGGTGTCAAGTAATATCAAAATAGTATTGTATGAAATCTAATCGGTTCATGCCAGAAACCATCCAACTTGTTTATGTCATATTTATGTTACACAATCCAACTTCTTGCTACATGGCAGCTTATTTAGTGAGTACTCATATCATAAGGTTAAATAACTGAAGAGCCTTTCTGTAGTTATCTTTATTTATAGGGGTAGTGTATGCTTGTTTACCATGATATGTAGTTGACACTTGATAATGGGAATTTCCTTTTTAAAGTGGGTAGAAGGAGGAAATTCGTATTTTTTTACATGGATTATGAAATGAATCAAATAATTTCAGTGATTGATTGTTACTACTTGATTCCATATAAATCTTACTGGACATGGCATGATTTGCTTTTAATACTTAGTATTCATAACTGCAGACAAGACAGTACTAACAGTTGCAATATATCCTTGATATGGAATTCTGCAATAGGGCAACTGAGAATGATAACATGGTAACCTGCATCACATTAAAAATTGAGTCCTGCCAAAGTAGTCGAAGCAAGAGGGAAGATTCACTTCCTTTTTTTTTTTTTTTCAAATTTTTAAGCTTGGTCCCTAATATGAATAAAAATAAAAATATTATTTCAGACATTTTAAGAATTATAATCAGTTTGTAGCACATTAAAATGGTTTATTTGGAAGTTAGGACTATCATATGTAATTAGCATCTGGTTTGGCTTACAAAATTATGTTGTTTTGCTTCTTTATGAGAAGCAGCTTTTACATCCATGACATTATGTCTTACTAGTTGTAGATTATTGATCATTGATGATGGCTTGACAACATCCATGATATTTTAAGTTTTATGATGATCAGGAAATGCTGAAGAAGCTAAACAGTTTTTCAATACATTATATAAGTACGCATATCTTCAGGGTACCTATCTTAAGCCCCATGTAAGTATCGAACCACTTCTCAACCCTCATACGTTAAGGCACATGAAAGTATTGCACCATCTCAAAGGTTTTTTCTTGAGATATAGGGTTGTTTGTGGCAATGATTTGTTATTTTGGAAGTGGTTTTTGCTTATGGTTTTGTTATTACTTCTGATACTCTATTGAAATGGTCATATTTTGGAATGAGGAAATGTATGGGCATTTATGCAGGTTGCTATTTTGGATGGTATAACAATGGGATGTGGTGCTGGGATTTCACTTCCAGGGATGTTTCGTGTGGTAACAGATAAAACTGTAAGTGATTTTTCAGATACTTGCCAACTCAACCCATTGTTCATGACCAGTCATGTGAAACATTATGAATTGCATTACTTTACATTATGATCTCCCATATTCTAGGTGTAGCCTCTTTTTTGCCCTAAAGCGAATCAGTAAATTCAAGTAATGGCTAACGCATTGATTCTAATGCTTGAACTCTGCAGCTTTTTTCTAACCCTGAGGCTCAAATGGGTTTTCATCCTGATGCAGGAGCTTCTTTTTATCTCTCTCGCTTGCCTGGCTACTTGGGTAATTTACTTTTTCATGTAATTTGAGAGCATGGTTCCTCTGTGATGCTTTGGTATTCCTTGAGACCTAGAGGCGGATGTATTTGTTTAAAATACATATTAAACTGAATCCTGAACTTAGCTATTTTTGGCATATGCTTCCTCCTAAATGAGAAATTCTCCTAAATATTTCCCCAACCATTAGCTGGAGAGGTTAGTGTAAAGCTGTAGATATTCATGCTGTAAATAAGTATCGTGTTAACACTTTTACTGATAATTTTCATAACTTTGGAAAATGATTTGCAAAAGTTCCTTCTAACTAATATTATGCTATGCAGGGGAATACTTGGCACTTACGGGAGAGAAGCTTAATGGTTTAGAGATGATTGCCTGTGGCCTTGCTACTCACTATACACTAAATGCTGTATGTTTTTAGCTTTGATTTTGTGCTTTCCTTTGTTAAATTTTCCTGTAACATTGTAACTCAGCTAGTCAGCTCACAATGACAGAGGCTTGCTTGGCTTGAAGAACGCCTTGGTAAGCTGGTCACGGATGATGCTTCTGTTGTAGAGTCATCCCTGGCACAGTATGGTGATCTTGTTTATCCAGACAGTAGGAGCATTCTTCGCAAGTAATGTTGTGTTAATACTTCCTTATTTCTGTAACACTCTGTTGGAGTTTCACATATGCTATTCTTTATGTGAGGTCTCTGCTTCTGAGTGTCTTAATCTACTTTTGACCCAGGATCGAGACGATTGATAGATGTTTCAGCCATGATACGGTTGAGGAAATTATTGATGCCCTGGTAAGTATCTTGTGGAATAATTTATACATGATATATAGTTAGGCTGAGAGAAATTAACAATTTAACATTACAACAGAATTTCCTTGACCCCCGATGAATCAACATCAATTGTAAGATTATGGAGACCCATCATCAATCAGATAGCTCCCTTGCATACCTTCAGCCTTGATCTTAATTTATGCTGGCACGACAATTTTCCTGAAAATTGCCATTTTTAGTGAATAGGTTTCTTGATAGTTGGTCAAAGTTGGAGTTCCATTGTCATAACTTGTCTCTGGCCAAGAAATGGATTCAAGCAACCCTTTCCCCAGTGGCAACCTCTCCCCAAAACCTAAAAGAAACAAAACTGGAGGAAACTAGGTGATTAACTAAACAGTTCGGTTTCTAATATATTGCCAAGGGTCTTATACCATCCGAGGGGAAAGACCAACTGATTTCGTCCTTGACTATTTTCAACATGAACTACTATTCGCTCAGGAGAAGGAAGCCGCCGAGTCTTATGATGAATGGTGTAAGACAGCACTTGGAAAGATAAGAGAGGCCTCTCCATTGAGTTTGAAAATTACTTTAAGATCTGTGAGTAACATCTCCTTTTGTACATTTATTAACTGTTTGTTTCCAACCCAGTTTGTAGTTGATCTCGGCTTTAACTTTTGCTATGAAATTCAGATTCGAGAAGGTAGATTTGAAACTCTTGATAAGTGTCTTGTGCGTGAATATCGGATGTCACTTCGTGGAATTTCTCAGCAGGTCTCCTCTGATTTCCTCGAGGTATGACAATGTTTTTCTTCATATAGTACGCTTTCCATTTGTTTGTGTTTTTACTTGACTTCTTGTCTATGTAGGGTGCTCGAGCGAGGCTGGTTGATAAAGATTTTGCACCCAAGGTATTCATTCATCTTTTTGTCCCAGAATCTGTTCATCCATTAATTTTGTAGATTTATTTTTTTTTCCCCCTTTAAATTGACCTTTAAACTAAACTTGCAGTGGGACCCACCTAGCTTAAAAGAAGTATCAGAGGACATGGTTGAATGCTATTTCTCCCCATTTAATGAAGCTGAGTCTGAATTGGAGTTGCCAACCAACTTGCGGGAACCTTACATGTGAGGCATGAATACTACCATTAATCGATGCCTGTAAGCAGCAGCGAGGGTAGTCACATTATTAATAGCTACGCTTCCAAACTCTACGACAATATTTGGGAAATGGGTGAGATTTTTTTGCTGTAATAGCATAAAAAATGTAGCGATCTTTTCTCGTTCTTTGGGCCTCTGGTAAGGTTGAATGAATTCCGAGTAGGCCTAAATTTTTGGTGTTTAGTTGTCGCCGAAGCAGAATAAGCTGTCTCAAAATGATCCAATTTGTTGTAATCACTCCATTACTTCGCGTGGGAGAATATAATAGGCTTTTAGTCAGAGCAAAAGCTTAGTCTGAGAGCATCGCATCTAAAAAAACCGGTTGATGGTAGCTTTCTTGAGTTTTGTGAAGTATTATTATTGCTGAGTTTTTACCTCAAGTGGGTCAAGAAACTGTTGAAATTGCAGGTCATCAACCATGAGGTGAAGTTCAAGAATAGAAGCAAGTTGAAATTTGCTTGCAGTCCAGAGAAAGAACTTGAAAGAAGGGGAAGCCGTGATGGGAACTCCCTATATATATTCTACAAATAGTGCGTCACTGACGTGTTAATTTTAAATATAAAATTTTAATTAAGTTATACTAATAATTTGTGAATTATTTGTTAAACTGTGTTTGGTTCTATCTAAGTAAATGACGCTTGGCTTTATGTGAAGGGAAACTCTTGGTAATGAACAAAGAAGTAACCCCTCCAACCCCCAACGCAAGTGCACAATGGAAGGACATTTTTTACATCCGAACACTTCCGAGAGAATCACCGATGAGAGCAGGTGCGGGATATTTCGAGCCCCTACTTTAATTGGCCACACAATGAAAATGAAGCCTCTCCACGATCTTCGAGGCGGCATGCATGCAATATGGGGCTTGGGAACCCATTTCTTTACGACGAAATTCTTTAGCATTGTTTGGAGGAGTGGTCCGAATTGGACTTGAAGGAGGAAGGCATTGATTCAGAAATTCCATGGAGTGAAATGCAAGTTACATGCCGGTTCAAAATATAAGTTAAATTTTATTCATTTACGTTTATAAAAAAACTAGTTAAAATTATTTTAAATCAATAAATATGAAAGGCATTTACTCCCCCCTCCCAAATATGCCTTTAGTAATGAAAAGAATAAGTAAAAGATATAATAAATGAATTAAAGAGAAAAGAAAATATATGGAAATAAAATTGAAAAAACTCATTAAATGCTTAGACAAAAATAAATGTTATCTTATAAAAAAGACTAAGTCTTTCCAACAAAATTTAGTTTATATTTTGAACCGAATGGAGTATTATGGAAGGTGTAAATGTAAGTGACGAAACTGGAGCACTTTTGATGGTTTTTAATAGAAAAAAATTTGAGTGAGTTGGATTCTAGTGGCTCATGAGGATGAGAACATACTTTTATACTTAAAAAAGGCTTGCAGAGACACTTACAGGTCACCCACTGATAAGACTCTCATATAAGTAGCAAATTCAAATTCACAACCTGAGCCGACTTATTTACTAACTGAACTAATTCTTGTTTGCAAAGAATTATTCTTTACCATCTCAGGTTAGACAACCATGTATCTTGGAACCAAGAAGTTTGGAAGCGCGCTAGAAGAGAACTGAACCAGGGTCCCTGAAACGCAATAGGGATTTTGGCCCAAAAAGACGCGATAGTGATGGTTCTGCACTTGTGCAAATAGGGGAGGGGGACCAAGGAAGCGAGAGCTGCAGTGCTCCACAACTTTACGCAGGGACAAACCGGGTCAACAGGTTCAAGATTTTACAGGGTTTCTAGAACCCCTTCTTCTGTTGGTAAAAGCGTGGCATACGGGCTACTGGAAGAACCGCGTAATCTTTTGTTAAATTGGGCTCCGCCCTCGTCCACCACGAACCCAAAAACAAAAAGGGATTCTTCTGGAGAAATCCATGTAGACGAGAAATAATAGTTTTCCAATGTACCACTATGTCATGGGATAAAAGACCGGAAAAAATTGGTGATTGTTTATGGCTGACCACATCTTGTTGCTAATATGCGTTCTTTTACATTTGTGGTGCAATGCAAGTTATGGGCTTGTCCAAATTCATGCCTCCGTCAAATTTGTTTAGCCAGAATGCATTCCCAGTTTCTCCACGCATGATTTTTAAAGAATTCCAGGCAACAGCAACATTTTTCAGACTCATGCCATTTGATCAACTTAAAAATAATGGGTAGGATTTTCTTTAAAAGAAAAAAGAGAGAGAATATTAGTGAAAATAATGGAGGGTGAATGTTAAGTATGCGCTCAACTTAAAAAGTAATTGCATGCTCCAAGCTAGCATCAAAGGATCATCCTGATATAAACAGTGGATTATTTACACCAACTTAACAAGCTAAGGTAATCTGGCATAACGAGGATAGTCAAGCTGAGAAGCACAAGTACAAAGGCCATAGGCTACAAGAGGAACATGAAGGAAATGGGCTTAGCAGAGCTGGGTTTCAAATTTAAGACTAATGCCCATGCTAAAAAGCTCCTGACACAATAATTTGGCTCCATAGGGCACGCTGACCTTGACAATGTCATCAAGTGAGTCACAGAAGCGGCAGTAGGGACCCCTTACTTTCCGGCCCCCAGCCACCGGCCGCAGAATCACATTTGCAACATTTTTGCACTTCCGGCAAATGTGCATCTGAGAGGAATCACTGAGAGTACAGAGGCGTTCATGCAGGTTGGCTGATGCCCCATGAGCAATCAGGCAGTCACGCTCCATTTCACCAAACTTGACACCACCAAAACGCTTTCTGTCTGCCACTGGCTGCCGGGTCAGTGGGTGAACTGGACCAGTATTCCGGAATTTTACTTTGTCCTCAGACATGTGGTGTAGTCGCTGGTAGAATGTAGGACCCATAAATATAAGCGAACGGACCATCTCACCAGTTCTCCCATTGTATACTCTCTCATTTCCCCATCTTGAAAATCCAACACTGCCATTACTCAAAAGCATAAAGTTACGACTGGGAAGATCAGCGAGAAGGAGACAAACTTACTGAATTTCATAGAGCCAGTAGCAAAAGCAAGCTAGGCCATCTCAAAAATTTGGAAGAGACATGATTGGCGCAGAATGTTCACAATGTCACAATAATAAGCCAAAGCAGGAATCACAGTATAGGCCACTCGACAGAATACCCCATACAATATGCATTCATATAGTACCAACATATCATAATAATTTAATAATTTTAGTAACATGCTCTAAAACTGTACCTGTGAAGCTGATCGGTGATGGCTTCAACAGAGACAGCAGAGAAAGGAGTGGCATGCTTCAATTTACCACCACAAGCAATCCCCTTCCCTAAAGCAGCCTCAAGGAGTTGCCCAGGAGTTTGTCGTGAGGGAAATGCATGTGGGTTAATAACAATATCAGGAACAATCCCTTGTATTGTAAAAGGAAAGTTCTCCTGAGACTCCAGAAATCCCAAGACACCCTTTTGTCCATGCATACTAGAGAATTTGTCCCCAAGAACTGGGCTCCGAACCTGCAATGACAATGTAGATGACAGAATTTTCCACCAGTGAAATTTTAACGTGATCACCAGACTAGGTGATTTTCAGTTTTCATTATATGAAACTGCATATTCAGATTATGCATGTGTGTTTCCATCTTATGCAAACATATACATGATTGTATGCACAGAATGCACAATGTGGACAGGTATCTTTTCAAGCAACAATGGATCATTTTTTTACCTGTCTCAGAGAAACCACAGCAAAATTCTTCCCCTCATCATTAGATGACAACACTACTTTTTGAACATACCCTCTTTCAGTGTGTTTCAGCTTTATGCTATGATCAGTCCCCGAATCTGAACGTCGCCCGATAATAATATCACCGCTCTGCAAGCTTGCCCCAACATATGGGAAGCCATCATCATCCAGGCTATCAACACGGCCTTTTTCGCTTTGTATCATTCCAAAATTTATTATGTCCTCAGGTTTTCGCTTCTTTTCTGATGATTCCTTGTTGTCAATTTCAGCTTTGTAACTCCTAATGTGCTCAGATCTGAACATACCACGCTGCAAAGAGGCAGCATTCATCACTAAGGAATCCTCTTGGTTGTATCCCAGATGTACATTCACAGCCACAATAGCATTCTGCCCATTATAAAATTCAGGCTTTGGAAATACCACATGACTGGGATGATATTCTGGTTTTCCAAGGCAATCAGAAGTCATTGTGTGAAAAAGAGGTCTTTGGGCATAATGCAACTGATGAGACAAAGTATCAACTCTGATACTTGGGTTTGTTGTGGAAAATCCAATCGCTTGTGATGAGTGCTTTTGTGACTGGTAGAGCACCCTCCGTGCATGATCATGATTCGCAAATGGTACAAGTGAACAACTTAAACCTAATAAAAATGACATATCAAGTTCACAGTGTGTGTACTTAACAGAACTTTTCGCTTCTTCAAATAAATACTGAACCCCCCAAGCAGTAATGCAGTCCTCTTCTTCTTCAGGCCCAATAAGCTCAACTATTCCTTCATTTAAAAGAGACTGGAAAGAAGATTGCTCCCATTCAGACCTTTTAATCTTGCCTAAATTATCAACTACCAAAAGAGGACGCAAAATCCTTCCAGCATCAGAGTATATCCGCACTTCTTGTTGAAGTTGATCCCTTTTCATTTCCACCTAAAAGGAAAATGGCAATCAGTAATTTCAAAGAGAAACAAAATAAACTGAACCAAACAAAGAATATGGTAAATCATACTTCATTATCTTTATTAAAACAAGAAAACTTATCTAAGAAAAGAAATATTACAGAAAAAGAGGATAAAAATAAGTCGCTGAACAAACATATGACAAACCTTGAATGGAAAAAAAAATTGCATCACTAATACAATGAAGCTCTTCAGTTCCATCAGAGCAACAATTGATTGATGCATAAAAAGAGAAAACCATCCAAAGTAACCAAATAAACCATCCAATCATATGCAAACCAAGTGAGGTCTCTAACCCAACAGAACCACGGTATGATGCTCAAACAACAACCACATAATCACCATATGTACAGTACAAAATCCCTTAAGGGTAAATAAATAACTCAGGGCTTGCATAGCATAGAAAACCAACATAAAATGATGGGTTAAAAGCTAACCTGAGGAGGTAATTCATTTCTACGTCGTTTATTTCGTAGCTCTGCCACAAATGAAGAGGAGTCTGCACACACTCCAACCCATTCCCCATTTAGGAAGACTTTGTGCTTTCCACCCAGTTTAGTAGAGGTATTATCAACTAGCTCTTCCATCCCACAATCAAATAACTGAGGTAGTATATTTAACATTGTTTTTGAACTAACTAGTCCAGTAACAGCTAAATTTTTTACAAGTCCACAATTTTCACCATCTGGGGTAGAGAGGAAACACA